AATTTAGGGTAATGAATGTCAATTTGAAAAAGCAGTGTTACTTATTTAGCCATTTCATTTTATTCCTTCTGTGCTGACATGGATTCTGATGTCTGTTTTACTGAGTGATACAGAATGAGCTGCTGAATGGCTGTCCTGAAATTCATTACTGCATGCTTCTGTGCTTTTGGTTTTGGCTTTTCCCCTCTCCCCAGGTGTGTACGTTCTGCGTTGTTGAATTCGGCCTAAATTCAGTTTTTGAAAAGGGGCTTTGGGCTCACAGTGTTTTTCCCCTCAGGTACAACAGCTGAAGGGCATATTTCCTCAGCTGAGCTCTCTGAAGACTTTTTTCCTCTTTTTGCTTAGCCTTGAAAGCAACTTGGAATAAATATGTTGTGAAATGCTTTCCAGAATAGGGTTGCTAGAATTGTGTTTTCTTATTTTTTTTATTGCTTTAAAGCATTTTATTAGTTCTTCATGAGACATGTTCACCTGGTGCCTTCATATTGTGCAGAGTTTGGAAGTCTGTTATGCTTTAAAGAGGTGGTAATGGAAGTAATATTGGCTTTCATGCCAAAAAACATTTGTTTTCATGTACTTTTTTTCTTAGTAAAAGCAAGTTCTTAAGGTCACAGCAGGATGATGCTATCTATGCAAGAGCTCCCTAGGTGCCTTTCTCCCTAAAATAAGTATTTAGCAGGAATCCTATAGAAACAGATGAAGAGATTTTCACCTGTATTGAACCCTTCCCTGTTTCCCTCCAGCCTGTGCTGGCTCAGCTCTGCTCCTTCCACAAAGCATTGTCACCTAGCTTTCCTTCTTCTCAGAGCATCCAAAGGCAGTCTCTGTTCATGTTCTGAAGGAGGAGACTTGTGTCATTTGTAGTTAATGCGAGCGTTAAAATTTCCATTATTCATGGGTTTACAGATTGATTTATTTTTTTTCTCCTGCCAAACAATTGTCCTCAGCTCTTCCTTTTGGTAATAAGTTTCTGAAATAAATAATGCACTGTGTTTTGGCTGTGTAATAGCTTTCTGACTACACCAAAGAGCATGTAATTATGTAGACTGCCATGTGCTATCAAGTTCAGACAATATCAATGGTAGTTAAGCCCACAAGCTTAATGTTCAAGAACTCTGTTCTTGATAAGCAAATAATTTTTCATCTTCTGTATCAATACCCAAAATCGATAGGGTAATTTGTGACATCAGAGATGGTGAAGCATCTAGAGGGGTTGAATGGGGGGACATGTGAGGAGGAGCTGAGGGCCCTGGTTGTGCTCAGCCCAGAGCAGAGGAGCTGAGGGAGGCCTGATGGCGGCTGCAGCTCCTCACAGGGAGCGGAGGGCAGCGCTGAGCTCTGCTCTGTGTGACAGCGACAGGGCCCGAGGGAACGGCATGGAGCTGCGTCAGGGGAGGGGCGGGTGGGGGTCAGGGACAGGGTCTGCACCAGAGGGGGGTGGGCACGGCCCTGAGCTGCTGAAGCTCAAGAAGTGTCTGGACAGCTCTCTCAGACATACTGTGTGAGTTTTAGGCACTTCTGTGTGGATCCCGGAGCTGGACTTGATGATCATTGAGCCCCTTCAAATTCTGGGTATTCTGTAAAATATTTTACTTGGAGCTTATTGTAACTAACTGGGTATTATTACCACATATTAAAATTAAGCAAGCTACAAAGGAGGTCATGTCTTGAGAGCCAAAAGGAGTGTTTGCTAGGAGTCTGTGTGCCGTTCCAGATTTTTATCACAAGATCCCTGTGTCTGGAGGGTGCCTCGGGACAGGCAGTACTTGGTGGGATGGATTTGGGGCCAGGAACCACGCTGGTCGTTGTAATGGCTTCCCATGGGAGCAGAAAGGGCAGCAGCCTATGACCTCCTGTGCTTGGATTCAGCACTTTGGGATTTTGTCCTTACCCAGCATCCAGAAGGATAAAAAGAGGGAAGTTTTAACAGAAATGTGAGGACCATGGTTTCGCTTTCCTGGCCACTCTGAGGGTTCAGGAGCTCTGGAAAGCAGTGACCTTCAGTAAATCTCCTGTGTTCACAGTGGCTCTGACTTTAACAAATGCTTTAAGAATTGTTTTTCTGTTCTGTGAGAAAAGCTTCTGAAATGACAGCAGTGATGTGTACAGAATGCTAGTTCTGTGCTCCTGTAAATGCCTGTCTATCCTGCATGGATGGAGTGAGGCCAGTTCTAGCCAGGTGTGGAAGTTTGTGTTGGAAAAACAGGTCCTATCCCTGGTCCCATCCTTCCTAACAACTGCTGAGATTTGTAGCATGACTTTTTCTGACTGTGGGGCACCAGTGCTGCTTACAGCATCAACATGTTCTTTCAGGGCTCCCTGCTTGTACCCACAGGCTGCTCCTTGGCCTGTCTCCACCCTGAGCTTCAGCGATATGAATTCCATGGTGTTTTGTAGGTGGGAAGAAAACTTCTATGAGTTTCCTAGTATACAGGTTGTGCTTCTCTCACTTGTCTGCTAAGTGCAAGTGGCTGTGTCTATGGGGCTTGGATACTTACATCTTAGGCAGATGGAAACAGCTCTTCAGCAGCTTGTCTGGAGTTCATGAAAGGTAGGTCCTGCTGGACCATCTAATCTCCTTCTACGTTCAGGTGACTGGCTTGGTGGATGAGGGAAAGGCTGTTGATGTAGTCTGCGTAGACTTCAGCAAAGCTTTTGACACTGTCTCCCATAGTATTCTCCTGGAGAAGCTTGCTGCCCATGTTTTGGACTGGTATACTCTTTGCTGGGTAAAGAACTGGCTGGAGGACCAGGCCCAGTGATGTTTGGAGTTAAATCCAGCTGGCATCTGATCACAAATGGTGTTCCACAGGGGTCAGTGATGGGGCCTGTCCTGTTTAAAATCTTTATCACTGATTTGGATGAAGGAATTGAGTGCACCCTCAGTAAGTTTGTAGATGACGGCAGCTTGGGAGAAAATGTTGAACTGCCTGACAGTCGGAAGGCTCTATGGAGAGATCTGAACAGGCTGGGTAGCTGGGCTGAGGCTAGTGAGAAGAAGTTCAACAGGACCAGGTGTTGGGTCCTGCACTTTGGTCACAACAACCCCAGGCAGCATTACAGGCTGGGGGCAGAGCGACTGGAAAGTTGCTCAAAGGAAAATAATTTGGGATGTTAGCTGGCAGCTGGCTGAACATGAGCCATCAGAGTGACCAGGTGGCCAAGAAGACCAATGGGATCCTGGCTTGTATGAGAAATAGTGCAGCCAAGGAAGCAGAAGGGAAGCAGAGGCAGGGAGATGATTGTCCCTCTGTATTTGGCTCTGGTGAGGCTGCACCTCAACTGCTGTGTTCAGTTTTGGACTTCTCACAACAAGAAAGACATTGAGACCCTCGAGTTTGTCCAGAGAATGGCAGCAAAACTGTGAAGGATCTGGAGCACAAATTTTATGGGGAGCAGCTGAGAGCACTGGGATTGTTCAGTCGTGGAAGAGAAGGCTCAGGGGAGACCTTATTGCTTTCTACAACTCCCTGAAAGGGGGCTGTGGTGAGGTGGGGGTCGGCCTCTGCTCCCAGGTAGCAGTGATAGGATGAGGGAGAATGGCCTCAAGTTGTGCCAGGGGAGATTCAGGTTGGAGATTAGGAGAAATTTATTTTCAGAAAGAGTGGCGAGGGATTGACACAGGCTGCCCAGGGTGGTGGGGGAGTCACCATCCCTGGAGCTGTTTAAGGAAAGTGTGTATGTATTAGCTGGTGTGCAGTATTGGTGATGGTTGGATCAGATGACCTTAGAGGTCTTTTCCAGTGTTTATGATTCCATGGGTTTTTTTTTTTTTTTAAGCTTGAAAATTTTTGTAGCTTTAGGACTTCAAAGGGATTGGATTCATTTGGAAATCAGTCTCCTGGTTGGCTGAATACTGTTATGGCCTAACGGATTTATTTTTACCTGACATCATATAAGTGCTCGTATTGTTTTCTCCTTTACAACAGCTTTGAGTGCAGCAGCCTACATGGATGTAGGGATGCTCACTGTGATCTGTGCAGCTCTGGTTTGATGGTGATGTCCAAATACTTTACAGCCTGTTTGCAGCATTGCATTTTCATTCCAGCTACCATTGCTGCCACACGTACAATTTAAATACTTGGGATGGTGGTGTAGGCTCCTCTTGCATTTTGCCTTTTTTTTTTTTTTTTTTTTTTTTACCTTTCCCTGAAGAAGTTACTAATCAAAGGCAGCTTGCCAGAAGCTCAGGGTCCATTATGCTTTTTGAAGCATATTTTTTTTCCTCCTTTAAAAGGAGTGACTTATACCAAAAATCTACACATGGGGCAGGGGGAAGCTGGAAGGTTGCTTGTTTTCTCTCCCTTGTCCCCAGATGTATGCTGTGAAGCAGAGAGCTGTGGGTGCCAAGTTCTGTTTACCACCACGGCTGCACAGCGTTAGCTTCCTTCAGGCAGCTTCAGGAATGATGTTCTTCAAAGCTCTTTGTGTTTTAAGTCTATGTTACCTCAAGCATTCATGGTATGAGTGACCAAAGTGGATTTGTTATTACCAAAATCAGTGGTCTCAAATGTTGTAGTGTTTTTCTTCTGTTTTCTCATACTAGCTGTTAAATGATGTCTGCTCTCAGAACAGAAACGGTAACGTTTTCTTTTTGCAGACTGGAGGAAAGAAGCTTTTCTGCTGCATGCTTGGAGTACCCTTCAAAACAAATACTAAAATATAGTTCTTTTTAGATTTTTTTAACTAACTTTAGTGTTTTTTTCTAATTTTCTTGTTTAATTATGCAGTAAAGATGGCTTCTGGTAATGGGCTGTTCTGATGTGTGCTCTTACTTGGCGTAATCAGTTACAAATGATAGTTTAATCTTGCAATATCAGTTGAGTAGATTTTTGGCTTTTAATATCATAGTACTTATAAAAATAACAAAAAAAAGTAACAGAGCTACTTTGTCTGCTACCAAATTAGTAATATTTATAATATATTAAAATTTATAATATATATTAAACTGAGTATGTGATGAACTAGCTAACTTTCTCATTTCATTTTGACTTCTCTAGAGAAGTTGGAGGTTGCACCACCGTCTCCAGGACAACTGAGACATGGTAAAATAAGAGTATTTGATGGATGTGGTTCAGTACTGTGCAGTCTTTGTGTTCGAGTTGCTTCGTCTTTCTCCTACAAGCCATTGGTCTGTCCTCATCTCTGTACTACTGCAGAGTAGAAGAAAACCAAAGCAAGCACCTACAGTGCTTTATTTCATGGCACCTCATCTGGTGAGAGAATTCCATGCTATTTAACAAAAGTAGGACAGAAAGCCCAAACAAAGAGCACAGTTCAAAGCCAGCAGCAAATGCTGTTGGTCTAAGCCAAGTTGCATTGGTGCTGCAGTACCTTGAAGATTTGTTTTCTTTTCAAGCTTAAAACTACCGACTTGCTGTGAGTTGCATAGATGTTAACAAATTGAGATGCTAGAGCAAAATTATATAGAAATTGGAAGTAGATTTGGTCGTCTTTATAAAATCATGTTTTTTCAAATTTTGATTTCTCTTCCAAATCATTTTATTTTTATGACTTCAAACTCTGTCAGAGAGCAAATGCATTTAGTCAAATATTTTCTACTTCTAGGTATTTATGCTTATTTTTTTTTTCCCCTTGATCAATGAGGTTTTGTACACTCCATGGATTCTAAAATTCTGTCAACTTTCCTGCGAGTGTGGTCCATGATACAGCTAGGTACACACATTTTGAAAGCCTTTGGCATCTGTTTGTGTGCTTTTTTTCGCTGTTAGCTTTTTGGGGTTTTTTTGTCCTGCTATTTAAAAAGAAAAGTTAATACATTCCATGCCTTAGTCTTTTATGTGTACATTCAAGAAGGTATATATGTTATTAAAAGGTTGTTAGAGAAGACCATATGTTTTCAAATACCTGAGCATGAAATGTCTTGTGTGGCATCAGTTTTTGTGTATTGGATTCATGGTGTTTTTGAGAAGTAAACCCCAGAAGAGAGCCCTGCTGGTTTCTTCTCACCTGCTTGTGAAGTTCATACACTCTTCTTTCTTCCCTCATATGTTTGAAAGTTTATGAAATGTGATTATTAATCCTATCTGAAATGGGATAAAAATTAAATAGCTGCATTTTGAATTAAAAAAGAAAAGAGTGAAAAGAACTGATTTTCTAAGCTGTGTTTCTAGTCAAGTAGTCAGTCCTCTGTGCTGTATTTAGTATGCTAGCACCTGGAGGCAGTGCTGTGCAAATTCATACCCATCTTCATAGAGAGCTTGTAAGTTAAAAGTTGAGAGAAAGAAATAGAGTAGAACAAAAAGGAATGATACAGTAATACTGTGCTGGTTAGAAATTATTCAGACTATGTAAGTAGTCTGGTGAGACTGCTTGGCGATCTTTATTGATACTGCAGAATCCATTGGAAGGATTGTAAGTAATATCAAAGCTTGTTCAGTATCAATTTTTTTTTTAATCTACTAACAGACATATGCAGCTTTCATCCAAAACTGTACATGAATTTAGAATAAGTTAATTCACATGGTTCTTCACAAGCCATTAATATGACTTGAATAGCCAAGCTTGCCAGAAATAAAAACCAAACACGAGCAGAGATAGCAGGAAAGGGATTTCCAGTGTGTTGCCTTTGTTTCTCTTAAAGGTGATATTAAACTCACGTTTCAGTTGTTTGTGTGTATTGGTGAACCCTTTATAAATATGATCTCTTTGTTACTTATTTTTTAGTGTTCTTCCACAATGCATTACCTTTTGTAGGGTTTGGATTTTTGGATAACGCAATTATGATTGCTGCGGTAAGTTCATTGTTTAATTCCCTAATCAAGCCAATACTGTTTGTGTGGTACTAAATGAGAACTTCAGGAAGACTCCTTTCCTTCTATATCAACTCAACTGGTTTCTGCTCTTAATTTTTCCATTAAAATTTCTGTGCTCTATTTTGACTTTGCAGAATGCAAAGTCGTTGTTTTATCTTCTGAGGGACAGTCTTGAAACAAATTTTATTGAATTAGGAAGCAACTTGTTTTTCTTCAAATCCATGCTTCAAGATACATTTATAATCACATTGTTAATGCAGTTTTGTATCAACTAATTCTAATGTATTTATATCTTCAGTGTTCTTTTATTCCCAGTGGTGCAAGCATCGTTGGTGTTGATGCTCATTTGTACTGATGTAGCATGGTGTTGCTGAGTAATGAATGGTCTTTAAATATTTTCAGTTTATTTGAAAAATGAAATGGGTTGGTGAAACAGGAAGATGATTCAAGACCAAATATGCTATTCCTTGAGTGGAGTTATAATCGACAATGTAATGTTAATCGTGGGATAGCTCAGGCAGGAAGGAATTGCAGGAGCCACTAGGCCTCTAGTCTTGCTCTTGATTTGGACCTTTTTGGGGTCTTTAGTGTCTTGCTCAAAGCAGCTTTGGCTGAAAGGTCAGATCAAGTTGTTCATGGTTTTATGAGGTGGAGCCTTGAAAAGCTCTAAGGGCAGAGACTGTGCAACCTGCAACCTGCCTGGGCTGCCTCTTCCAATGCCTGACTGTCCTCACTGTGAAAAACACTTTCATATCATGCACAACATCCTTGACTTTAAATTGGAGAGACATAAGTGTGACAGATGGACCACTTGGTGGGTAAGGAATTGATTGGATAATTGCACTCAGAGCTGTGGTCAGTGGCTTGATGTGCAGGTGGAAGCCAGTGACGAGTGGTGTTCCTCAGGGGTTGTTTTTGAGATTGGTGTTATTTAACATCTTTGCCAGTGGCACAGACAGTGGGATTGAGTGCACCCTCAGAAAGTTTGCTGGCAACATCAAGCTGTGTGGTGCAGTTGACGTGCTGGAGTGAAGAGATGCCATCCAAAGGGGACCCTGACAGGTTAGAGAGGTGGATCTTCGTGAACATTGTGATGTTCAACAAGGCCAAGTGCAAGGTCCTGCATCTGAATTAGTACAGTCTCATGCACAGAGAGCAGATCTGAGGAGAAGGATTCAGGGGGTGTCAGTGGATGAAAAAGTGGATGTGAGCTGGCAGACCAGAAAGCCAGACATCCCCTAGGCTGCATCAAAAAAGTATGGCAAGCAGGGTTTGAGGGATGCTCATTCTTTCCTACTCTGCTCTCATGAGACCCTGGAGTATTGTATCCATGTTGGGGGGCCCCTACTATAAGAAGGACATGGACTTGTTGGAGTGGCTCGTGAGGAGGGCCATGAAGGTGCTCGGAGAGCTGGAGTGCCTCTCCTGTGAAAACAGGCTGAGGGAGCTGGGCTTGTTGAGTTTGAAGAACAGAAGGCTCTGGGTAGACCTTACAGTGTGCTTCCATGACATATAGGGGAATGTACAGGAAGGATGAGGGGGGAGACTGTCAGGAAGTGTAGTGATAGAACATGAATTTTGAACTAAAAGAAGGTAGTTTCAGATTATACATAAGGAAGAATTTCTTTACTTACAAGTGGTAAGGCACCAGAACAGATTGCCAAGGGAAACTGTGGGTGCTCCATCCCTGGATGTAGGTGTTCAAGGCCAGGTTGGATGGGGCTGTGAGCACCCTGCCCTCATGGAAGGAGACCCTATCTGTGGCAGGGGGATTGGACCAGAATGATGTTTAAGGTCCACTGCAACCAAAACAATTCTGTGATTCTGTTTCCATCTGGAACATCTCTTGTTCTGAAGTATGCCCCTTGTCTCTAATTCTCCTGCCACACATTGCTGCTTCATCCTGCAGTTCCATGTGATTTTGCATTTCTTCATCTGAAAACATAAAGGAGATATGACTCTACATTTTATCTCTTTGCTCAGTATTTCTGGAAGTTTGCTTTCAGAGCTGTTATGTTAAGAATTAGAGTGAAGAAAATGGTATGCAGAAATGGAGATGACTGTTTTAGCCATTAGGTTGCCATTATGAGGTAATGTAAAATATTAAATGTGTAACTGAAGTAGCTGCTTGTTGTAGGGGGTGATGCATATGCTGGGAGTGTAAGAGCTATGCAGATCTAATAGAAGTAATGTCCATTTGTCCTTTCAGTTTTGACCTAAGCAGTAAGTGATACTTTACCAATTGAATTGATACTCTATTTTAAATCCATATCCATCAAATAATGAGAACTCTTATTTTTCAGGGAACCCAAATAGAATTGTCAATTGGAGTTGTCCTAGGAATCTCAACCATGGCAGGCAAGTAATAAAAATGGAGTATGCATAGACTGATGTGACACATTCTTGTATTTTAGACTGAAAGTAGGCCGCAGGGCTTGAAATGGCTCTTCTTTAGTCTTGAAGCAGCAGTCTTTCATAATAAATAAGAATGTGTTCTATTTGCAGAAATAGGATTTTGTTTCAAATACATTCAGAAATTCTTGGGGTTTATTTGTTTGTTTTAATCTAAAAGTCCAAATCCTGGGTCACTTAGAAAAGTACATTTGCATTTCTGTAATGGAACTGCTTTTAAATTCCCCAAGATCTAATATTAATGTACATATTTGCGAGTGGCTGTTTGCTTGCAGTGCTAAGTGAAGATCAATGTTTGATGTCTCTCTGCTGTGTTGTCCAGGGTTCTCAGTGATTTTCCTGCCTCTGTGCAAGGTGCAGAGGCAGCTCTGCTCTCCAGCGCTTTGCTAAAACTGATGAGCTCTGCTTCACTGCTTCTGTGCCTTGACAGTGTGAGAGGAAAAAACTGCTTGTGAACGCATTAACTGCAGGTGTAGCATTGCTTGAAAGCACACAGATAGCTTGGATGGAAGTTTGTACAGCAGAACAATTTAATCTTCTGGAAATTTGCAGCCCTTCACTGCAATGAAAGAGAGTCACAAGCAAGAGTATATCTTTAAGATCTCCTGTGAAATCATGTATTTTAAATGTGTAACTTTAAAGTGTTACATATTCAATTGCATATAATATTTATTCCTAAGCTGACACAATGTATAGGAATGATACCTGCTTTTGAATTGCTGAACAAAGCTGTATATGCTCTATTTCCAGTGCTTCTGTGTCTCTCCAGGCACTGCAGGGCTTTTTTGGTGTCCAGTATGACCTGGGTGAAACTCAGCTGTGTGTGGCCATTGTTGGCTCTGATCTGAGAAGTTTTTATGCCAATTTCCGAGTCATCTTTTTGCATTTGTGAAGTCTTCATGTAAGCTGAGGAAAAATGTTGCTATTCTGCTGCTGTTATTCCAAATTGTAATGAAGTCAGAAGATAAGCTCAAAAATAAAATTTCTTTTAGTTTTCTCTGCAGTGTGTACTGATAAGAGCCAGGACCAATAGCAGTGTTTGTGGAAGGATGTTGGTTGTTTTTATTCAGTATTAACATTTTGCCTTCTTCCCTCTCATCATCACCAGCTGCTGCTTTGGGAAACCTTGTTTCAGATTTAGCTGGACTGGGGTAGGTCTGAATTTAAGAATGTTTTTACTCCTTTGTAACCAGTGTTGGTGCTGCTGAACTAAAACATACAAACTGTTGAAATTGTGATTTTTTTTTTCTTTTTGTTGGTGTGGATGTTTTCTTGTTGGCTTTATTTTTCTTTTCCTTCCCTAGCTCTGGAGTTGTGCTTCAGTAATCCACATGACATTTGATTATATTATTGAGGCCAAAACTGCAATGCTGTAGTTTTGAAGCAGAGACTAACTCTTCCTATTGCATATTATATATTTAAGTGATAACATTGGGATTTGGAATTGGTGTTGAACATGATTCAGTGCTGCTGTGACAGAATATTACCTCGTCAGGTTTTCAGATCCGAGCATGTAACAATGCATGCCCTTCTCCTGAGATACAGCAAGAATTGCAAATATAGTGTTACATCTGAGAAGAAGGGAATAGCTTCAGATCTAGAAGTATCTATCTGCTGCCAGTAACTCAGTATTTTATTCTGTTGGATATAAGCAGATGCATTTCACTTTTCAAAAGGAAATTTCTGAGTGGATCCTAAAAGAAAATTTTCTTTCATTTTTCCCTCTAGTTTTTTTCTTCTGCAAATAAAAAAACTTATTACAGAAAAGGGTGAATGGTGTGCAACATTTTTCTTGCAAAGGTTACTTGTAAGCTGTTGTAATGTACAGTAACATTAAAGCCGGTCTTGTCTTAATGCTTGAAAAACTTCTGGAAATATGGCATATTAAATCAGTAAGAAAATTCATAGAGTTACATTGATTGAAAAAGTGTTAGAAATTTGAATACTTTTTTGTATTTACTTCTCCATGGCTTTATCAGTGTGCTGAAGGAAAAGCTATTTTCAGTGCTTTAAATAGTTCAAAATCCTTTCCTGAAGACAATTTCATATCCCAAATAATTTGTTCTTGGTTTCTAATTCTTCCAGTCTTGCAGGTTATGTAGAAGCTTTGGCTTCACGGCTGGGTCTCTCAATCCCTGATCTGACGCCCAAACAAGCTGACATGTGGCAAACACGTCTTAGTGCACACTTGGTAAGTAACCTGCAGGCAATCTTTGTGGGGATCCTTTTTGTTTAAACCAATAGGTGATAGCTCCTTTTGTCACCTTTGCCGTTAAGTATTTAATAGCTGCCAACAGTGTGAAGATTTCCTGGAAGGTTTGGTTGAGAGCCTGTATCAGCATCAGCAGAATGGATTGTTTTGTGCTTGGGCATTTCTTTGTACACAGCAAGCCACAGGTGGCTGGCAGGATGGATGATCTCTGCAGTGACTGCGTGTATGCTGTGCAGTTACCTTGGTTGAGCTCTGGCTGCTGTCTGCCAAAATGCCCTCAGCATTACCTTTACTAGTTTAACCCCTATACATTCTTTAGCAAGTGCTTGTTAGTGGTGCATCTGTGCTATTATGTATTAGTTTCAATTGGTCTGTGATTAGTTTGTATACAAAATTACCTTTTATGTGAGTAAACCTTAGCATTTGAACAGCATTCACTGCTTGGGCTTACCGTGACTTCTACAGTTTTGGGGCACTCACTTGTTCAGATGCATTTTCAGGATGATTATTTCATGAACATCAAAACATTTGAAGCAGTCCCACTTCACCAGTAATAATGTTAGTTTATTTTTGTTAAAGAAATGGATTATTAGAAACTGAGTAAGGAAGCAGGTAATTCTTTCATTTTGCCAGAACAAAATTTCATGTGGGAGAATCACTTAGCAGATTTAAGGGAATAGAAATAATGCTTTCTCAATAAAAGTTAGGAAAAAGTCTACTTCTAGCAGCAGTATATGGAGGCATTGAGCAGGGAAGAAGTGATATATTGTCAGTGGGCTGCCCTCTAGTCTGTCCAACTTACAAGCTTTCTTACTGGAAGCTGAGTCTGGCAAGTCTGTCATTCTATGACAGTTTGTTCATAGCACTTTTCTGTGTAAAGAGTTCTGAATGTCTTGGTCTCTATGCTAGCACTTCTTTCCTGTCTTTTTATTATTTACTGCTGCATGAAGTTTCTCAGCACTATTCGTTTGCTGCTGCTGACATGCCTTCAGATGTTGTGTCTTTCATTTCTTTCCTCTCCTGTTGACTTTTATATCGAGGTAGATTGTGAAATCTTTTCCAATTACTTATTTTTGTCTTCACCTTGTGCCTTTACAAACTGTTTCGTTGCTCACTTCTGACCTTGATGATAATTTACATTTCCAGATTTAAGCGAATGCTTCTTGCAGTTGTGCCTTAATTATGTTTATCCTTTCCCATCTTCCTGGCCATCGTGCTAACCCTTTGAATCTTGAGCTCCTCATTTATTTATCATATGTGCATCTCCTCATGGGTCATTCCTCTCCTCTTTATTTAGAGTTGTCTTTTACCACATAGGATTATCTTTTAGCACACAATTTCTTAATTTGCTGATTACACACACTTGTCTCTGTCTCACAGAAAGTTTTGAGTCTGCATGCTAGGAAAAATGTCACTCCCTACCAAAAGCTAGAACAAAGTGTCCATTGGCTTAATTTTGGTGGTACTGCACACAAATAAGTAATAATTGATCAGTGAGAAACTTATTTTTTTTCCCTCTTTCTCTAGGGTAAAGCTATTGGAGTGACCATTGGCTGCATTTTAGGAATGTTTCCTTTGTTGTTCTTTGGCGATGAGGAAGAAAAACTGGAAGAAAAAAAATAACATTTTTACAAGAAGTATACAGATGTAAACTAATGTACCTCAATTACTCAATTATGCTGTCAATATTTAGGAATTAACAGACAGTAAAAATGTATAGACTTGGGAACAAAACCTTCAGCATGTCATTTTATGGAAACACTAATTTATTGTGGCTTTGTTGTGTTCAGTACTTCTTTTTATAAGATACCATTTAGCTTTCTATTTAATGTACATTTTTGAAGTGTTTTCACTTATGGCAAATGATGTTTACCACTTCCCCTTTTGACATTATCCTTTAACAGATTATTACTTTAATAGTCCACTGTGGATGACAGTAACACTCTTCAGTTGCATATTGGTTGCTTAACAGATGTAATTGCATGACAAAAAAATTGCAGCTGTTCATCAGGTCCTTCAATACAGATTATTAAGGAGGTCAGTTATGAGTGATTTGAAGATCCCTCACTTGACAAGAAGGCTGAGTGCCCCCTCACCAACTCTCATTTTGCACTGCCTTCACATCAGATATTTCAGTGATCAAGCATCAGTCTGATTTGCATTCTTTATAATTCTGAATCTCTGAATTGTCATCTGAGGTGATCATTTTAATGCCCTGACCAAGGTAAGTGATTGCAGTATAATATCCTTTCCAGGTTCATCTTTAGTGGTGTCTTAACACTGCCTTCTGTACTTCTGTATTCTGTCTCTTTTTTTCCTTTTTTCTTCCTGGTAAACAATAACTTGAGAGTTCAGTTGAGATCTCCTTAAGCTTATCTTCCTGAGCTTCTCATGTATTATCAAAGAGTTCAGATTTCCTAATTCAGAAACACTTTTTTCTTTAAAAAAGTTCTGTTTAAAATGAAGTGTGAATGCTAATGGGGGGAGCTAATGGGGACTGACAAAGCTGGGGAGCCTTTTGAGATATGAATGAATATTGGCATTGCAGGTTTGTGATGGGTGGCTTAAATGAAACAATAAAATATTCATATGCTGTCAGTCTGGATTAGAGGACCTGGTTTGCAGATTATAATGTTGTATTTATGATTAAACTTTTTTTTTTTTTTTTTGCTGTGAGGCTTCTGAAAAAAGAAAAAATAAGACTTGAGGCCTTCTTCCTGTTCCTGCCTTTTATTTTTGCAGTCTTATTTGATGTATTATAGATCTGACAGTGCAGTCACATGTAACTGTGCTTTTTTATATGTTCATAAATTATAATTACAATTATCAAGAGAATTTCAGGATCCACCTTGCCAAATAACAATGCTAAGCTGATAACTATTTGTTAAAGGGGGGCTTTCTTACCTCTTTCAATACCATTTGGAAAGATTAATAAGAGGCACAGCTTAGGCACTTTGAAAGTTCTGTCACTGGAATTGTTAGCACTTCTGAAACCAACAAATAAATGGTTTAAAAGAAAATTCCATCCCATGATTTTTATTTGCTATACAGTCTTATTGTAACATGTGTATGTTTACAGAGCTCTCTGCTTATCTCCTGGCCGTAAATCTGTCTTCTCTGTTCTAATTTCTAGAAGCCCCTTAAACAGCAGTACTGAAACTTCGGCACCAACCTTTAGGTCACCATGATGCATCTCTTTGTGAAAAGCAGGCTCTGAAAACTTGGAGACAGTAGGCCTAGTAGCATATGCTGTCTTTTGTGTGTTAAACTAATCCTGGCCAAACTGAAACTGAAAGAAATCTCAGCTAGGCAAGAATAACGCTAAATACAGAAGTGTTCTGGCTTGCATTTTCAAAGTGGGAAGCTTTTCTTTAAGGACAACAACAATAACAACAAAAACAACAAAGGGGGTCCTGTTAGAAAATAATGCACTTCCCAGTAGGGGGTTTACAGTATGTCAGTAAGAAGGTTTTTTTTGCTTATTTCTTTAAGTTTCATTTAATTTTATTTTTTTAGACGCCCATGTTTTGCCTTGCCTTAAACTCTGACTTTTCTCCCTGTGTATTTCTGTTTTTGTTATGTTTCTAGAAAAACTGTATTTTAAAAAACCTTTTTTTTTTTTTTAAATTGAAATACACATTAAAACAATTTTGCATAACTTTTTTGTATTTTTTTTTAAATGAGAATTCCAGTGGTGTTTCTCATTGCAGTACTGGCATCTTCACTGTAGTCCTTCAGGAGCGGTCGAACCTCTTTCTTTGCTGTCATTCTACCTGGAACAGTGATTTCATCACTCTTTTTCAAAGGTCTTAAGAATAATCAGAAGGCTGTTTCAGCTCTTGTGGTAGCATTCTTTTTATAACGGCAATAGGAAAGCTCATGTACTATTGTTTAATAGTTTGTGCATGTAAATTGATGACATTGTATTGCTGTATGTCAAACTACTGTACTTCAGCCAACGCCTTTAAGGAGAATTAATGAATACCATCAAAGAAATCAGTTGTGTTTTGATATCTATTTGATATTTATAAATGTAGCGGGTGACACGTGATAAGAAACCTTACGTGTTTCAGGTGCTTGTATGATGTTACAATCAAGGTGACTTTTTGGGTTTCAGTATTTGACATAAATGAAAACTCATTTGAGAAACAGTGGCTCGGAAGGTTGAGAGAAAGCATTTGTTGGGGCCAAGGTACAACCCTAAACACAGTAGGGGTGGTTTGCTTCGCCTGTGGGATCTACTTTTTTGTGGATGTGCAATTGTTTCATGTGAAGTGGAAGATATGTGCCTGATCCTAAGGTGTCTCCTGATAATGAAAGATTTTTCTGGTGTTCATAGTTGAAAGTAATCCCCGTTGCTCTGATCATTGTCTTAAAAATATGTAACTGAAAAGACAGAGCAATAACAAAAGTCTCCTCTTTGTTTTCTGTTGTTTTCTCCTTCCTTAATAAAAGGAAATCAGACACTCTCAGAGTTACTGAGCAGCTTTAGTATTACTCTGTTTTTACTCTGTCAAGCTTGTCCTGAGTTAACAGGAGTTTTTCTTGTTAAAGGGCTGGTAGACATGAAATTGTGTTTATTTTAAATACTGTATTTTATTGTAACTTAAAATGTAAGTGTATTTTCATTTTTACTGTGTGTATCCCTAGGGAGAAAGAACATGCATCTGGTAATGTGGTTACCCAGTTCTACTTGCTGATATTTTCTCATTCATGTACTTTTACATAAATTATTTGAATTCCAAAAATGTGTTTTGTATTGTCTTTAATTAAATTGCCAAACTTTCTGTAAACTTTTGAATTACATCAGATCTGTTCTGTTTCTTTATTAGACCACATGCTGGAGGGGTAATTTAATGTCTTGTGGACATTTAGTCTCAATTAAGAAAGTGAGTTTATTATGTAAATTTTAAATGAGAGTCCCATTGTCGCTGATAGAGAAGATCAGCACCAAGGAGTAGTTTACTTTTGTCTTGCCCTGTTTGGAGGAGAAAACTTCAGCACTTAAAATGTTTGTATGGTAAATTAGCAGCATTTCTGATTAATATTAGAAGTTCTGTAGTAACTGAAGTTTGTATGCAAACTAAGGTTCTTTTGAACTCTCCTGAACTGTGGAGCTATACAGTGCTTACAGCTGTCACTAATCTAGCCAACATACTCAGACATTTTATATGGTGTAGTGATAAGCTGACAGAGTGGCTGCTCTTAAACTACAGGCCTTAGTAAAGTTTTGCTACCCTCATACTGTTTTTTCTCCTAAATACTGCATAGAACTTATGCAGTGTCCAGTAGATAACTTATCCAATGAATGTGAGCCAACTCTTACTCGTGTTGAACTCAGTGTCAACAGGTAACTCCTATTCACTGGTTTGTCACAGTGATCTTCTCTGGATGAAACCGGCTGCAATAGGAAGACATTTTTGGATAGAATCTGATACTGTTCACTGACTCCAGTTTCAGAAAGATTAAAAATCATGCAAATCATCTTGTGTTGCCTTGATCTAAATTGAGTTGTCAGTATTTGTATTTGAACTACTTTACAGAAATTGCTATTGAGTCTCCTCTTGCTGTGCTGTAATAGCAATCTCCTCCATTTTTCCTTCCCCAAAATCGTGATTCTTTGCATCTTAGAAGAAGGAATGGCAGCTGAAAGGATGAGATTTCTCTGTTTGAACGTGAAGGCCATTCATCTGGGAACTTAGATTTCTCTTCTGTGAATGGTGCTGCTTATTGAATCCTCTCGGGATCTGGTGTTCCAGGCTTGAGGTGGCTCCACTTGCCAGATGCTCAACACTTAAATTTAAAGGTAGTTTGTATTAGGTGAATGTCTGTCCTTAAAAAGTGGAAAATGCTGTTCAGAGTGAGGTTTTAGAAGGTTTAGTATTCATGTGGCATCTGTCTTCATCTCTTATACTGGAAGTGGAGGAACAACGCTTTACGTGGTGTCATGTTTAAGAAGAAAGGCATTAGACACTGACCATTTCCTATAATTATCGGTTAGGTCCAAAGCATTTCATAGTTCCCTGTTACAGGCTCCTTTACCTGGGATTTTGTGACTGTTAATTACTACTGCAAGAGGGTTGGGAGCACTTCTGTGTGTATGTATGCAAAGACTTAAGCTGCTGTGAAGTATCATACCTCTTTGAAATTATTTAGAGTTTTAAACCTGATGTATTTTCTTTTGTTTTGTTTTCATGATACTGTATCAGTGATTTTTTTTTTGTCTTCCCTTATGAAAAGTGCCCTATGTTTTTGCCTGTAGGCTGTAAGTCATTCCAAACCTAATTATTATTGATGGATAATAATAGATTCTTTCCAAGTGGATTATGAAGTATCCTGAGTGGGACCATTAACTTGTCAGAAAACATGTATCCAAAGAGTTAGAGTAAGACTTGCTGCATTAGACCAGTGCTGCTGCTCCTGTTGGGAAGAGGCTGTCGTTGAGCAGAATAGCAGTGTGGTAACAAGAACGTGTTTTGCGCGGCACTGTGGCTTGGGTTTGGCAGGTGATCCCTTTGCACACTGGTGATACTTCTCTTTCTGAGAAGATGGCTCCTCTGTTTGTTCCACATAGGAACGAGGAAGAAGTGGAGGGGAGTGGGATTCTGTCAGGTCTTTTTACACAGGAGTGCATAGAGCTTCTGCTAAAAGGTGAAAATATAATAATTTGAATTTGTGCTGCTATTCTGCTTTTCTCTGTGCCTCTGAGTGCTTTCAGCCTGCTGAGAAACTGGAAAAAAGAACTTATGAGACTTCTCTCCCTGTGTGGCTTTTCTGTACGTCTCAGCTGTTTAGCTGCCAATATTCTATACATGGAGCTAACAATAAAAGGAGAAATGATAGTAACGTGTGTCCCTTTTGAACACAGGAGCTCTTGCATGGGTTAAGTCCTTGCATAAGGAAAGTGATTACAGGTGGTTTATCTTTTCAATACACATAAAAACTAGTTAGATATTAAGAGAAAAGAGCCCATTTTTGTGAAATTTCAGGATGGATGCAGCTCTGCAGGTGACTCGTTCTGTTTCTCTTATTTCTGGTTTCCCCCCCCCCCCAGCAGTTGCTTGTACCTCTTCATGCAGGAGCACTGCAGGGTGCAGATTTTCTTCCACCTGTTTTCACCTTTGAGAGCACTAAAACCTGTGAGCGGCCACAGGCCTGGGAAAAGCTGCTTCCAGAGTCATTGCTTGTCAGTTAATGTAGTAAGTGGTAATGCTGTTGATGAGACACAATTAAATCTTGATTATCTTTCATAGTCTTCTTCAGTTGATTTGTAAATGCATGCAGTCTTACAGTGGGGGCATTCTTTCTGGGAAAGCAGTTTATTTGGTGGGATCACATTAGATTTGTGAAGGTTGCAGGATGAGAACTAGGGCAGTTTTTTTTGTATGTATTAAAATGAGAGGAGGCCTCTCCCAGTTGGCACTGGGAACCTGAATGTCATTTAGAATAACTGTCTCCTTATCTCTGCTACGGATGATGGGCTCTGTTTTAGGAAATTAAAATATCCTGGGAAACCAAAAATACAGCTACAAGTCATATTTCTCCAGGTCAGTCAGATGATATGTTGTCGTCTTGGGTGCTTACATGCTCAGGCACAAATATCCCACAGGCTCCAAGGATCGTGCAGGTTTTGAGCATTCCTGAAATGGGATTTCTCTGATTTCTGTGTTGCTGCTGTACTTCATCTGGGTTACATATCCCACTGCCCCTTTACTATAGAATATACATAGGATGTCACCAGCATCCTATGTCACCAGCAATGTCTTGACCAAAAAATACAATGTTTATCCTTACTGTGTTCTGATGCTCTTTGGAGTGTGTTGTAGTTTCAGGCCTACCTTTTGCTCAGTTTGCAAAAGTTCAGATCTTTCTTGCCTGTGCCCGTTGCTTTTGATCACTTAAATTATGAATTGTGTGAATCACACGGTACGTGAAGTTGACTTTTTTTTCAAAATGAAATCATCAACTCCCTGTCTGAAAACTAGTTTTTGTTGTAGGAAGTCTAGAACTTTAATTG